ATTTACATTTCTTAAATCCCAACACTCTCTCAAATGTTAATTCCCTGGTTTTTCTCTCCCCAAATTACTCCTTTTTCCCAAAACAAAGGGAAAAAGTAACATAAGGGACTTGGGTGGGTTTTTTTTTTTTTTTAGTTTCGCTCTTTTAAATATTTTTCTATTTTAAAAAATATTTTAAACTTTGTTTACAAAGTACTAACCTAGGAATCATAATTCTGCAAATTTTCCATTTGAAAAAATATGTCATCACTTAGATAATGATAGATAATTCAAACTTATTTTCGAAGACGGGCTAAAGAGTCTTCAGTTTCTTGCTGTGTTCTGGAAGCTCAGCAATGGGAGGAAATCCAACCTATGGAGAGGAAAATGAAGAGAATTCTTTGGTGGAGGGGTATTTGTTTTGACAGAAGGATGTTACAGGCCAGAAAAACTGCTTGGCAGGAAAGATCGTTGTGGTGGTCCATACAAGCTTCCTGGGGAAGCAGGACAAGGTCCTGATGTCATGAACGTCCCCTTGGATCCACCAGCACCACAGAAACGTAACTGGAGCTGGAGGTGGAAGAGCAAAACCTAGACACAGGTGAGAATCTGAGAGGAGGGAGGGAAAGGCCCTCTCTCTGATGAGAGCTGAGCCTTTGGGGAACCATAACCGACGAGTCTCAGCCGGTCCCCTAATGGGAGAAGCCGCTGCCGACTTCATGCTCTTGACTTTTGTCCTAGTGACTCTACATTTCCAGAAATATCAGTCTTCAACGTCTCTAGGTCTGACTGTTTAGATTTCTTTGCTTAGTTCTTCTACTACAAAATCCATTTCACTCTGAAGTGCAAGAATTGGTTAAATGGAAGGGTTAAATGGAATTAACTTTCACCAGCCAGTCACCTCCTTTCTAGCTCTTTGTGATCACTTATGATTAAGGCTGACATCCTTTAAGGATAACTTGAGGTCACTAAATGTTCATCTAAGTTTAAACATCTCAAAAATTTTACATTTTCTTTCAAGTTCTTTAGAAAGTTGCATAGCAAAATGTTTCTCCCTTTCTCTATGCAGTTGATTTTTAACTGAGGGAAAACTTTTGCTCCAAAGAAGAGAATTTTCAAAATTCAAGGACTGCTGCCCATGCCATCGCTTCCCAAGGAAACCTCCAGTCTTGAGGACCTGGACTCAAGTTTTTGGCTGCCATAGTCTTACACAGCTTCCTTAGAAGAAGCCCAAGGTACAAACCCAGGGCAGAGACAGCCTCTTCCTGGTTCTGACAGCCAATACAGCTCTGCTCCTGGTTGCCAGTGTCTCAGGAGCCACAACAAACCAAGCAGAGCACTCCACAGAACTCGGCCCGGATCCAAACCTGCCCCTGGTAAATGGGGAAGCCCAGCGGTTGAGCAGGCCAGTGTCAAAAGAGAGCACAGCAAAGATGGAGTTGCCAAGTGCCCCTTCTTTTCCCTCCCTCTCTCCCTCCCTCCCTTCTTTCCTTCCTTCCTTCTTTCCCTCCTTCCTTCCTCCTTTTCTTCCTTTCTTCCTTCCTCCCTTCCTCTCTCTTTACAACTTCACTGAAGGATACCTGACATATAATAAACTGCCATATTTAAAGTATACAATTTGGCGAGCTTTGACATACGTATATACCTATAAAACCATCACTACAATAAAGATAACAGACATTTCCATCACCCCCAAAAGTTTCCTTGTGGCCCTTTGTAATCCATTCTTTCCTCCACTCTATTCCCAGACAACCACTGAGCTGCTTCCTGACATTGTAGATTTGGTTGCATTTTCCAGAATTTTGTGTAAATGGCATCATGCAGTACGTATTCCTTTTTGTCTAGCTTCTTTCAACATAGTGATTTTGAGGTTCACTCATGTGGTTATGTGTACTAATACTTTGTTCCTTTTATAGCAGTATTCAATTACCTGCATATACCACAGTGTGTTTAACTGTTCACCTATTGATGAGCCCACAGGTTGTTTCCAGTTTTATAAGCAAAGTTGCTATGAACATTTGTATGAGTATTTGCATAGAAATATGCTTTCCCTTCTCTGAGAGGAAAATTACTGGGTCATATGATGTTTAACTTTTTAAGAAATTGCCAAATTGCTTGTGTAGAATTGGTATTACATTTTCCCTAAATGTTTGGTGTAATTCACAAGCAAAGTCATCTGGGCCTGGGGTTATCTTTGTGGGAAGATTTTTAACTACTAATTCAATATCTTTAATAGGTATAGGACCATTTAATGTTGTCCCAAGGCTCAATGATGCTCTGTTTTGGTCTTTTCCTGTCTCTTTTTTTCTGCTTTGTTTTTTGCTGTCTTTTTTCTTTCTGTGTTTCATTTTGGATAGTTTCAATTGCTATGCCTTCAAACTCACTAATCTTTTCTACTGTAGTGTTTAATCTACTATCAATCCCATCTGGTGTATTTCCCATCTTTAGAAGTTTGATTTGGGTCTTTTTTATCTCTTCCATGTCTCTCCTTATCGTGCTCATGCTTTCCTCTATTTTCTTGAACACATGAAGCATATTTATAATAGCTCTTTTAATGCCTTATCTATTAGTCTTATGATCCATGTCATTTCTGGGTCTGTTTCTATTGATTGATTTTTCTCCTCCTTATATTGTGTGTTTTCCCATTTCTTTGCATGCCTACTCATTTTTTAGTAGATGCCAGACATTGTGAGTTTTTGGTTGTGGAGTGATGGATTTTTATTGTTGTGTTCCTTTATACATTCTTGACCACTGTTCTGGGAAAATTAAATTCCTTAGAAACAGGTTGATCCTTTCAAGGTTTGCTTTTAATGTTTGCTGACAGGTCCACAGCCACATTTAGTGTGGAGCTTGACCTCACAGGTAAGGAAATAGCTTTCTGAGGACTCTGCTGAGTGTCCTATGTGTCAAGAGGTCTTTCCACTTTGAACAGTGGGAAGATGAACTGTTCTTCGCTCTGCATGGGCTGCAAGGATTCTTCTACTTACTTCTTCCCACTGATTCTTTCCCTGGCCTCAGAGTTCTCTTCACATACATCCCTGATCAGTGTCAGCTAAAGACTTGAGGGCGCCCTTGGTGTATCTCCAGAGCATCTTCCCTGCCTCTGCAGCTCTCTCCTCTCTGGTACTCTACCCTGTGAATTCTAGCCACCTTGGCCTCGTCTTTCTCATCAACTCAGGGAGGACTGTGCTGCAGCCTGGAAACGTTCCACGGGTAGTGAGCTGAGCCACGAGTAGGGCTCACTGCTTTGTCCCCTTCGCTCAGAGATCACTGTCCTATTCTGTCTATTTTAAAAGAACTAAACACTACTATTTCACATATTTTTGTCCTTTTGTTTTAGTTGTTTAAGGCAGAAGGGTAAACCCAGTCCCTGTCACTCCATCACAGCACAATGTGACACTCTGATTCAGGGGACTTAATGTCAGGCTCAGAGATCTGAACTACAAATTCCAAGGATTAATACTGAACAATTTCTACAAATTTCTTAGTCCAACCCAGAGCCACACAACCCATATAGGGACCAAGTGGAATCAGTCTTCCTGAGAGGAACCCTACTTTCATTTCTGTAAATTAAGACTCAAAGTATTAGAGTGTGTTGCTCCACATTTTCAGGTTCTGGCCCAATGATAATGAGATACTTTCTCTCTAGCTCTGCTCATGTGTGCACGTAGGGGGATGTTCCTGTAAACACACATGCATGTATGTTTTGTATGCAGCTATGTGACTGGATTTAGGCTTAAAATAAAATTTATGAGTAAACTTTGTTTAACGCACATAAACAGGAAATAGCTACTTGTGAATTCATTAATTAGAATCCTGTTTACAGAAATGTGAAGAATAATCCTTTGTTCACATGAATGAGATCCTGCTGTCAGTATGAAAAACTATGGAGTGAAGCCGGTTAAGGAACCACCTTGGAGCTTCACTGCCCAGCCAGCAGCTTCACTCAAGAGCCCTCTCTGTTTCCTGGGTCCTAAGACTGGGTGGTACTCTCAGATGAGGAAGCCCTCGACTGCACTGCAGCCTTGCATGGGACTCAGTTGCCCGCTCCCCTGTGCTCCCCCTTCCTCTGACTGTTCCAGAGCCGCCCTGGCTGCCTGCACAGACCCTGAACTCCTTCTCAATTTGGGACCCAGCTTGTTTCTCAGGCCTGAACCCAAGGCCAGCCACCTTTCCTTGACCTTTGATATAAACTTTCTAGGGTCCTGTCTGCCTGTCCACCTGGCCATTGCTGGCCTGATGCCCAGTATATGGTAAAAGCAAAAGACAGGATATAGGAATCCACTTGTTTCCCCTGAACTACGGAAAGGCAGCCAGCGGCCAAGAGAGATGGATATGGTATGTATTTCTAAAGTTAAATGAGCCAAGGTCGTAGCTACAATATTAATGCAATTCAACAAAACACTTCCTAAGCCAGGCATTGTGCAAAGGTCTGGAAGACAAGCCGAATAAGACATTAGCCCTGCTGATGGGGCTCACCTTCTAGTTTGGAAGACAGGCAAGAAAAGAGATTGTAATATAGCATGTGAGGGAACCACAGCTTCTCCTTGCCTGTCTAGTGTCTAACTCTCTACTTTTATTTACATATCTATTCAGAAAACAGACTATATATATTACTACTAGATGACACAGACACCACATCCAGACTGCTTTTCACAAACAGTTTATGTCTGTCTTTCTGACTGAATTGTAAATTCCCGAAGGATAAGGGCCATGTCTTATTCCTCCCTTGTCACTCTCAGTGACTAACATAAATTGTACTTGAATTGAAATAGATGCAACCCACATATATGAGTCTATTATAAAGTAAGAAATTAGTTATACAAGCAGTACAATAAACAAAAGCCTTCTTTTTTTTTTTTTTTTAAGATTTTATTCTTTTCCTTTTTCTCCCCAAAGCCCCCCGGTACATAGTTGTGTATTCTTCCTTGTGGGTCCTTCCAGTTGTGGCATGTGGGACGCTGCCTCAGCGTGGTCTGATGAGCAGTGCCATGTCCGCGCCCAGGATTCGAACTGACGAAACACTGGGCCGCCTGCTGCGGAGTGCGCGAACTTAACCACTCGGCCACGGGGCCAGCCCCCCAAAAGCCTTCTTCTTGATAAATAGTAATGATTCTAATTATCTAAGAAAATATGGATGGTTACAATTCACAATGGGAAGCTAATAGGTTAATTAACTAAATGGTTAAAAGATTAATAAAGAAAATGTATTAAAGTGGCTCACTGATTGTCTCCCTTACCCTAAGCTTCATCTTTAATACATGTGTGTAATAAGGTTACATCCACACATAAGCACAACTATGGCACCGCTGGCACCAAGCATTTGGGTGATTGACAAGATGGCAGCTGCAATTCATATTTTCAAATACGAAAAACTCTAGATCCTGCCCTTGTTATCATTGTCCAGTCTTTTGGCCACTACTTTCATCTACCACAGCTGCACTCTATAGAAAGCTGCCTGGAGGAAAGAAGATAACCCTAGGCAGTGGTGCCTGGGAACGTTAGTACTTTGTAAATAAAGTTATTTAAAATAGAAAAATATTTAAAAGAGTAAAACTAAAAGGGAAGAGGTAGTCAGCGTTTAGCCAGCAGCCAAGGAGGGGCAGGAGGAGGGGGGAGGGGCCCCACTGACTCGATTGGGTAGGACTCCTCCACGTGACAAAACGTCAGACTCAAACTGCATAACAATAAGTAAATAATAAAGGAAAAATGCTTATGCTTCAGGTACAGAGAGCTTCAGAGGCTCAAACAAGTCGTTAGAAGCCCGTCTCCCCACCTCACAGTTCTGCTCTCCTCCCTGCCAACTTCCTTCTCAGCCCGCATGCGGTTCACTGAACAGCTCCACCTTTGGTAGAAGCTGAATGCAACGACACGTTTTCTAGAAACTCAACACGGTGTCTGATAGTGAATAAAGGATGAATGAAATTGTTCAACCACTCTCTGCTTTGGTATATTGCAATGCCAAGCTCACTTGACAAAAGCATTCAAACATGATCCAACCGACGGAGGGCAGACCTTCCATGTCAGTAGCTCCCAAACTCAGCGGTAGCCTCAAGTCTCGTAAACACACACCATGTTACACAAAATGACAGACACACAATTCTGTAGGTCTCTCTATGGATCTGAAACTCAACAAGCAGTACTTACTCACTTTATCTCAAAGACCGTGATGTGATTTAGAGCCCAGCTTTTAATTACATTTTATGTCCTCAGTTACCCATTTGTCATGGTAAAATAATATCATTTAGTTCTGGCCTTTGTCTCTACATTGGCCTAGCTTAGCACGTATAATTTGCAAGGTCAGATTGTGTTTTATTCAAGTATTTATTCCCAGCAGAGTGCTTAGTCCAAAATCGGTGGGTAATAAGCACATTTTAAATGAATGGGCTCCATCTCCAACAGTCTGACTGTGGGGCTCTGGCATTTGCTGACTCTGCCAGACCCTGCATGCCTGCCTGCGAACTCATCCACAGAGTGCAGCGCCCGTATCTCTCAGGATTCTGGACCATATGCACTGGGTGTGCATGTGTGTGTGTGTGTGTTTTAATTAAGGTATAACTTACATACAGTGAAGTACACCAATCTCAACTGCTCAAGTATACAACTTGATGAATTGTTACCAGGTGAATGGACTTGCGTGGCCATCAACCAGCTCAATAAATAAAACATTTCCAGAAGTCTTCCCTATGTCCCTCTGTCAGTCAGCACCCCACCACTGACAATGCTATTCTGACCTCTGTCGCTATAGATTAGCCTGCTTTTGAACTTCATATAAATAAAATCTACACTGTTATCAGTTATCTTTGCTGTGTGACAAACCACCCAAAAACTTATTCGCTTTTCTAGATTTTCATATGGACTACCTAGCATTGTATGAAATAGCTGTGAACTAAACATCTTCAAGAGGAGCAAGATTTATGAATTGCAGCAGACCAGACTGAAACAACACCATGTCATTTGCTCACAGTTCTCTGGGTCAGCAATGTGGCCTGGGCTTAGCTGGGCAGTTCTGTTTGTCTCACGCTAGGTCACTCACGTGGCTGCAGTCATCTGGCAACTCAGTTATGATCTGACAGGGCCAAAGAAACATCTGGTGGGTTTTGCTGGCTGGCAACTGGGCTGTACGTGTCCCTCGGGGCAGCCTCAGCTTCATCACAGGGCATCCGTGAGCCCAGAGGCTGAGAGCTGTGAGCCTCTGAGGCTCAGGCTGAGAAGTCATGCCACGTCACTGCTTCCACATTCTGTTGGTCACAGCAAGTCACAACAGCAGACGATACTCAAGGGAAGAGTATACAGCTTCTGTCTCCTGCGGAAAGCAGTCGCCAAAACAATATAGCCATTTTCAATTCACCACATTCAACATGTACTATTTGATACCTGACTTCTTTTACTCAACATTATATCTACAAGATACATGATACTGTGTGCATTACTAGGTTGTTCCTTTTTACTGCTGTGCAGTATTCTACTATATGAAAATACCACAAACTACTTACCCATTCTACTATTGATGGACAGATGGATTGTCTTCAATCGAGGGCTATTATGAATAAAGCTGCCAGGACGTCCCCAGGTGTGTCTTCCGACGCAGGGACTTATTTATATTGGGTACAGACCCAGGAGTGAGAGTATTGGGTCACAGGGTATTCGTATGTTTAGCTTTAGCTGTATTGACAAAGAGTTTTCCAAGTGGTTACTGCAAAGTGCTGTGATCTAGAAGTTTCACAGGGGCTTGAAGACTATTTCGACACCACTGCCCATGTGTCTTCTTGGGTTCTCATACAAAACTGTGGATTTTTTTTCCTCTGCCATTTACTCCTGTTATTCCTTTAATGGTAAAAATGATTTCAACATAGCCATTTCTTAGTTCATTTGATCTAAACAAATTTCCTTGAGCAATCAAAATACCAGTCCATTTTTCTGAATGGTCTAGAGACAAGTGGCAAACCGAGTATGTCTAAATGACAGGGTCTGCAGCAGCTGAGTCAGACAGACACGACCAGAATCCCACCAACACTGAGTGGGGAGAGACGGGACGGTAGCGGGGTTTGGGGCTGAGTCATGTTTATGAGACACCTGCTGTGTGACCCACACTGTGCTGTGTCTGCCTATGGACTGGCATTGAATCCTCACAATATAGTAAGGTGGCCTCGATTATTCCCATTCTATAGATGTCAGTGAGACTCAACGAGGCCACCTAAGGTCACACTCACCTGCTAAGTGGCTGAGTGTGGATCTAGACTTTCATATGGGCTACCTAGCATTGTATCAAGGAACGGTGAACTAAATAATCTCAAGAGGAGCAAGATTTTTGAATTGCAGCAGATCAGACTGAAACCAACTCCTCAATCAGCACTCAAATATATGGAGGCTCAGAGAAAGCCAAGATGACAGGTATTACGAACTCCTCAGCATGTCCTCAAAACATACACTAAAAATGTCTCACACAGTGTGTTAGGAATCATTGTTCAAACCAAATCCCCATCCCCACCCCACCTTGGGGATCAGCACTTTGCACATGCCCAAGAGTGAGGACCACTGAAACAACCCGGGGTGCGTAAAAAAACATGTCAGAGCCCGCCTTCATCCATTCTGTTTCCTGACAGCGCACTCCTAGTTCCAAATTCTTCTGTGCCCCTAGATGGCATCTTCCGAGCTCCAGGATGAAGCTCTCCAAGCTCCGCTGGAGTCCTGTTCCTCCCCGCTCATCCCTGACTCAGTCTCCCCAGACACTGGACAACTCTGTCTCTCTCCTGTGCACACCAGATAGTGGCTCCAAGGCCCTTCTGTCTTTGCTCGGCCCTCTCACCAGCATCAAACATATATGGGGGCACAATTTACGACTGAAGAATCTACAGTCTGTGCTTCCTACTGTCTTGTTGCAGAAGGAAAACACGTGGTCCTGCATCACATGCTATCAAAACAATGTGTCTCCACTTACAACTGTCAATTCTCCCGTTCTTCAAAATGCACAGACACGCATGCACGCACACCCAACACGACGATCTCCTCATGGAGGTTCAACAATCCCCTTTTCTTTTTCCATCTGTTATTAAACAAGGCATCTTTTCCTTTCAACAAAGCTAAATATTTTCCATCTAGGGCTTTCTTAAGAAAGAAAAAACCAAAATCAATCATCTATCCGGGCTGCAGTGTCTCCGTCTTTGAGGTGCTTTTCGAGGCTGTGACTCACCGTGGAGCCTTGACAATCACCCACCCCAGGCCAAACTGCAATGAGTGTCCGTCTCTGGATTACTGCCTCGAAGAACACAGGCCAGAAATCTCCCGCATTCTTAGAACTTTCACCCCTGGATGACATGTGGAAGGGCCTGTGACAAAGCCACACTACTTGCTGGAACTTGGGGTTTATTCTGAGGCTGGATGTGTAACCATGGGGAGGACAAGCTCTAATGTTTGAACCCTGGGTCTGTTACTGGCCAACGGTGCGACCTGGGGGAGGTGACTTCATCTTCTAGAAAATAGCAATGATATTATCTCACTCATATTACTGCTGTGGGACTCAATGAAAGTGCCTAGCACGTACCAGTCCTCCATAAATGTTGGCTATTATTATTTCAACAAATTCTGTCAGGACCACCACTGCACCTTCAGCCTGACGCCCAACCTCCTTCCTCCTCTCTATTACCGGAAGATTGCCCTAGATGGAAGTTTCCACTCTGTCACCACTTCCCATACTCTCATTCCAGTTTGGCCCAGCCTCGTCCCTCCCCACAACATGAACTCGCGCACACCCTCCAGCTCTCCCATTGTGCCCTGGGAACCTCTGTCCCACTGTAAACACACACCCTCTTTGTCCTTCCTTCTCAGTGCGGGCTTGTCCCTGAAGACACCATTTCCCTTACAAGCCTTTCTAATGGTGACAACCCATCCCACCACCCATCACCTTTGAGAAGAGCATACTCCAATCAAAACCCAGCTCTTCAGTCATCTCCCAACATCTACTTACTCTCCAAACCAAAGACATCCATCTCTACCATCTTTCTCCATTTTTGTTGCTGTCATGTTTCTGAGCTTTTTCGTAAATTATTCCTGGTTCAAATTTTGCTCTTACTCATGTGTTTACCAATTGGGCTGCGTTAATAGGTGCATGAAACCCTCCACCAGGCACTGGGAATACAAAGGCAAATACAACTTTATTCAAGTTCTATGAATTAGCAGTCTAGTGGGAAGGAAGACACTTAATAATAAGAGAACAGAGTAATGAGTGCTACCAAGGAGATAAACACTGGTGCAGTGGAAGCTCAAACCCTGTAGGCACCTCAATGTCCATTATGTCATCCTTTCCAAGCCCCTGATCGCCTCCACTTTTCTGCTTGCCCTGCCCAGAAACAGACCCCCACTTTAGATCTGGCCATGCGTAATTTAGAACGGCTCACCTTCAAGATCTTGAACTCTTAAATTCCCGTCTTTGATAACAATCTCCAATCCTTGCTAAACCTGCTCTCTGCCTCATTTTCCTGCAATTCCTAAAACATTCCCTATTCTCTCTACTCTTTGGTCCCTTGTAGACCTTTTTGCAATCTCTGTCTAGTGCCATTCATTCTACTAGCCCGTGTTCTCCAGTCTTAACTTATTTAAGAATCTCTAACCTGAGTCTTCAAACAATCCTGATACACATCTTCTGCTCCCAAGGTACTAACCATTACTGGAGACATTAAAAATAAAAATAACTTAAAAACTGAATAGTTCCACTAAAACTTCTATCTCCAATCTCCAATTTTCAACTGGCCCCTTCCTACTCAATAGTTCTTTTATTCAGTGAAACCCAATCACATTCCCTACAAAGCCAATTCCATACCATCCCCTTCCTTCATATCCATCCTCCTAAATACTTTGCATCAGCTGGTGCCATAAGCTAGCTCTTTCAGCTTCCCCCATTCTTCCTCAAAACATATTTAAATTTTCACACATTTTGTCTTCTTTCCTTCCCAGCACAGAGAATGGTTTCCTGGTCTCCAAGGTTGACCACTATACTGTGACCTTGATCTTACCCATCTGTCTTCCTCAAGCATCCACATCAATTGTCAGCTCACTCGCTTCTTCTCTTTCTCCCTCTCCACTGGACTATCCCCTCAGCCTATAAGCAGACTGAAACCTCTCTTCCTATCCCAAGAGAACATGCCCTTGATGGACTAGCCCTCGAGCCACCATCCATTCTCTTTTCTTCTCTTCACTGCCAACTTCTTAAAAGAAACCTATACTCACTGATTTCCACTTCCTGACCACCCACTAGCATCTTATGCCTGCGCAAACTGGCTGTCAGCCATGTGGCTCTAAGAACAGTGCTTTAGCAGAGATCACCAAGGAAAATACAGGATACCAGAGAAATTACTTGAAACCAAGGTTAAAATAGAATAGGCCTTTTCAGTGGAACTCTCACAAGAACTAAACACCACCCAATTCTCACGGTTGTGTGTTGTTGATTCAAAAAGAAAAAAAATGTTCTTAATTGTTTTTCTGAAAGAGGAAGAAACTACAGGATGTAAATTACAAACCATGTGGCCTCTTTTTCCTCTTCCTTAAAATACTTTAACTTTTAGAGCATAATGTCAATATATGGTGTTTCTTATAACCATCTCGATTTATAATGTTCAACTTTTCCATTTTGCATGAAATGAATCATGTAAGGTCTTATGGTTCATACGGTACTCTTTATTTATGAAAGTAGTTCCCAGGAATAGCAATGAATCAATTTAACTAATTCTTTTGTTATTCTGAAGGCAGGAAAGATAAGGAATAAAAATTTGGGGAAAACATTTCTGGAATGCAGATATAATATGTCTATCATCTCCAGTCCTTGCAATCAAGGACCATGATACGCTCCTTTCTAACCACAGCAGAAACCAATTCAAACTTAATATTATGTTCCTGTGAGTTTTAGGTGTTTACATGGTGCTGGTTCTGTCCACGCCTTTGCCGTGACTCACTTTCACAGGGTTCTACCAGCAATCTGTTCTAAGGCATTCTTGCCTTGCAAAGTGTATCATTACTTCTGCCTTGACATATCTGTATTAGTGTCATCAGTTAACCCTGTGCTTGCCACTTCCACAATATAAATGCTTTATAATTATTATAATGACGTTCAATCATAGTATAAGCATCAACTGAGCCTTCAGAAAACTGAGGGTGTGTCCTCTCTGGTCTCCCAGATTTCAGACAACTAAGGACATTTCTATTTCTGTCTTTTGCTTTATATCTCATGCTGTACAGGGTGATATCTGAGAGTATCTACAGAGTGAGAGTCTTTCTGTCATTTTAAACAGATAAAAAAATGTTAAGGTTTTG